CACCAGCAGCCGGTACTGGCACCTGGGACAGGCACCGGGGATCGGGACCCGCCTGGTACCGGGATCGGCACCCGGCACCGCACGCCCACGCAGTCCCGGTGCCCACCCRTAGCCATCACCCAGCACCACCGGCCCGGCTCCCGGGAGCTGCCCTGGTCCAGGTGCCCCCCCGGTACCCGGCCCCCAGCACGGGCTCCCTGCCCGGTCCCACATCCCCACGGCACTGCCCCACTCCCTGCCCCACTGCGCAGCCCCTGCTGCTCCCCGGCCCCCCAACCTGCCCCACTCAGCACCACCCTGCACCCCAGCCCCGGTGCAGCCGGGCCCGCGGGTCCCGGTGCCCCCCGTCCACGGGAACGGCCCTTCCCAGCCACTTCTCCCTGTAATTCTTTTCCACTCAAAACAGGAAWGGGGAATCAGTGGCTGTACGGCCCAAGGTGCGGGTTTGCAGCGGTGTCCCTGCTGCTGCAGGCAGCGCCGCAGCCAGGGAAAGCAGGTCCGCAGCAGAMACCTCCCYRGAGAAGYGAGGCCAGGGTGGATTCTCTGRTGTCTAATACAGGGTTGGTTCCCCCCGCCGCCTCTCCCTGCACAGGGCACCAGCCCTGTCTCTCGCCCTMACGCAGACGCTGGTTTGCACAAAACCTGCAGGAAACTGCCCGGTGCGGCCAGATGCTCCCAGCGATGGGAACACGGCCGCAGTGGGTGCATGCGCCAGCATGGGCACAGCAGGAGGGCACACGCCACAGCACCATCCAAAGCTGGYTTACTGGCCCCAAAAGAGATCCAAAGGCCACAAAGCATCCCACTGCCATGCAGAAATCCCAGGCACAGCTAAAATCCAGGATGTGGCCTCGGCTCCCGAGCTCCCTGCATGGGCCAGGGAGGCAGCAGCCCAAGGCCACCCGAGCCCCACGGTGACGGTGACAGCGCAGGGTTTGTAACTCCCCCAGCGACAGAGGTTCTGCACGCGCTCCCAAAGCCAACGGGCGAGTTTTGCAATTACAAAAGGATTTTTTTGTTGTTGTTTTCCTCTTTTCAACTCATTTCGTCATCTGCCGAGTTCAGGATGCCGCGAAAGCGCCTTCCTTTTCCGCTTTCCCGACGTTAAAGAAAGAGCAGAGTCTGCAATCCCAATGCGGGGCCTTCCCTCCCGCTGCAATGGGAGAGGGAGCCGCTTTTCATGGAGACCTTCTCCATTGCACCAGGATCATCCCACCCTCCCAGCCCTCGGTGCCAGGGACGGAGCATCCGTCCCTCCCTGCATCCCCCGGCCCCCGACTGCAGCAGTTTAATTGAACCGCCGGCAAATCTCCCTTGCAAATGTTCCCTTTGATTCGGTGTTATTATTACTAAGCCGGCAGAGTGTGGCTGAAAATTAAGCGAGGACTAGCGGGGGGAACAAGGCGGTTGCATCGGCCTTGGCRCCCGAACCCCACGGCCACGCGAGCTCCCCGGCTCCATCCCCAACCAGTGTCCCCATCCTTCATCCCACTGCACATCCCAGCCTGGAAAATGCCTCTTCCCCAGGCAGCGCCAGCCTCGGCGCTTGGCAATTCCCAGTGCGACGGGACAGAGACCCCMTTCCCGGGCGGCAGCTCCCGCTTCCCACTTCGCCCGCTTCCGAGGCCGTCAGCACCGGCACAATCTCTCCGGATGCTTTAGTTTTTCCCCAGGTGCTTAATCACTCGTTACCCTTTGCTGATTAATTAATTCCAATTAATTTTGCGGTATCGTTTGGGGGGCAGGTGACCGTCGGCGCACGTGTTGCTCCAGGTGAGCTGGGAGTTCTTCAGCACAGCCAGTACATGCGTATATGTATGTGTATGTGTATATCTGTACATGCATACGTATATATATATATATATATGTATATGTGTGTATATATGTGTGTCTGTGTATAAATAACATGCATATATGTATTCGCGGCTGTATTATATGTATGTGAATATATATATATATGAATATACTTATACATATATGAGTGTTTATACACATACACTATAGTGTATGTGTATATAAAGCCTTTATACTGTGTGCATAGTACTGTGCATATGTGCCTATATATCTGAAAAACATGCATATCTACACTATGTATAGCATACATATATACACATGTGTGTGTGTCAATATTTATGGAAATGTGTATATATATAAATATACTCTCTCTATATAGCTACATTGTATGCTCAACATGTATATCATACACACATATGCTTGTGTGCATATAAATATACATATATATATATATAGAATATGTACACACACACAGAAACCTATAGATACCTGTATATCTACACTACATACRCTGTATCATACACATAAAGACATGTGTTTTTGCCTATATATCTATATGGAAAGCTGCATATACCTATGTACAGTATATAAAGTGTATGTCCGTCATGGGCTGAGGCTGTGGGTGCTGCGCTCGGCAGGGACATGTGTGCGGGACGAGGGGGAGCCGCCGTGAGGAAGAGGAAGGGGAGCAGCCGAGGAAGGCGAGTGACAGGGAGCGCGACGCCAACTTACCAGAGCGCCCCGCTTTGATTAATTGCACTTTCCCTTTGATAAATGCTGCTCGGGAGCATAAAATATGCGCAGCGCTTGGCAAGTTCGCGCTGTGTGAAGAAACTCCGCTGGCGGAACTGGAATTCCAGGGTGGGAACYAAGCGTCGCCTCGCGGTGCCTGGGAGCCTCCCTGCAATGGGAGAGCCTGGTGTCCCGTTAACACCCCTGCAAAAGCAGCTGGGTACAAAGCACTGTGATTGCCTGGGCTTCCCGGCACTGTGTTAATGCCGTGGCAGCAACCCAGTGTGCCAGGGATGCAGTGAGCATGCCAGAGATGCAGTGAGCATGCCGAGGATGCAGCGAGCGTGCCAAGGATGCACTGTGCACACTGGCAAGATGCAGTGAGCGTGCAGGAGGATGCAGTGAGCACATCAAGGGATGCACTGTGCACACTGGCAAG